GGTGCCCCGCCGCCAGGGCTGCCGGGCCGACTCGTTCTCTCTGTAAGTGGCCTCCGCGCCAGTGCAGCACGCCCAGGCGGTGTGTGGGTCCCACCCGCCCCTCGCCTCGCTCGGACGGGGCGCCCAGGAGAGGAGGACCCTTAGCGCGTGGCCACCTGGGGAACCTCTGGGTTATGTGGCACCCCAGAGGGGCAGCGAGGACGCTTGCAGCCCCTCGCTGCCCCTCTGGGGTGCCACGTGCTAAGGACACGGCCATTCCCTTCCTGCAGCCACCGGCCTCTCCTGGGCTCCCGGAACGCTGCGGGGCGCTAGCGACGGCCACGAGAGCGAGAGACGCGCCGTGGCTCAGTCTTGCTGTGTTGTCCCCAGCAGCCACAGCCCACTGTCCCCACCAACCTCGGCCGTGTGGGACCCGGGCCATGACACAGCTGAGCGGCTCACTTACACCTGGCCCAGGAATCAGCTTCCAGGGATCAGGCGCCTGCCTGAGGCAGCGGGAATGAGGCTCCCTGGCGGGGTGGGGAGGGACGAGAACGGCCCTATCACTGACTCCTTGCCCATGGCGAGACTTGGCTGCCGATGAGCAGCAGAGGAGTTATGTTTAGCTTCTGGGACATGTGCGGTTGCTTAGGAAGAGAGCACTGCCGTGCTAAATATAGACACACACCCCTGCCGGCCATGCATAACCCGGACGCTTGCCAGCCAGCGGGCCCAGAAGACGCTCCCCGCAGAAGAGTGAGGGGACTCTCCTGAAAGACGTTTTAACCGACGCAGCACGGTGGGAATCCCGGCTGCCCTGGGGGTGACTGACAACTGGGCTTGTGCGAAGGCACCCGAGTCTCTTTGTCTGTGGACTGCCCCTCGCCTGCACCCATCCAGAGGGCTCAAAGCACCTGCCTTGCCCTTGGCATCTGCTGACAAAAGGTCCAGGGCAGAGCTGGGCAAGCGCGTTTCGCTCCCGCTGGATTTGCCAGGCAGCCCACGTGGGTCGCCCCGAGTGGACGTGAGCTCGCCGATAGCTTTGGCCCAGAACAACACCGTCGCAGCCGAAGGGGAGGAGCCCGCCGGAGAGCCGGTAGCCCTACACCCGGGGCTGACTCAGACCACGACTTAGAACAAGCGCTCGCGAGCTCACTGACCAGCCCCTGCACGTGGCGGAGCTGTGGCTGGTGCGCTAGGCACGAGATATTTGTGCAACTGCGCCCCAGCTGGGCGACTCCAGGACAAGGACTGGGGAGGCTTTGTCCAAGAGGTCGGGAAGCAGGGAGGGGGCCAACAGGCGCCATGCCATGTGTCCAGTGGGGTGTGAGCTAGGGCGGGCACTGTCGGGTGTAGTCTATAACTGTCAGGGCACTTCACATGGCCATGGGGACGTCAGAAACTCCCGGTGCCAGCTGAGCTGGCCCTTGCTGCTAGGCTCTCACGTGTCAGTAACCAGGGAGCCACGCCACTGAGACATCCAGGGGCCAAAAACGGGCGTGACTGGCGCCGAGCCATGCCGGGGTCTTTCTCTCCGGGCAACAGTTCAGTTTGCTGAATCAACTGGCCGCCCTGCTGACTAGGGACACCAACGTCCAAGGGGAGAAGCACTGAGCAGCTGCACCAGCACTATGGAGGAGCACACCAGCTGGGCGAGGCAAGCCCGGGGGAAGCAGGCACATGTGTGACCAACTGACCATCCCAACCATGGGCAAAACTTACAGCACCAAACACAGGCTGGCCCGTGCTAGCCTGATGACAAGAAACTGTCCC